CTATTTCTCAAACTAAACATTTAGTTTGAGAAATAGACTAAAAGGTAAATATTTATATTTAGGTTGCTAGTTAAACATTTGTCTAGTCACTATGTGCAAACTGGCTTGCCGATAAACGGAAGTGGAATATCAAAATAAAAGCTGGGTTTCGCAGAACTCTGACATTATTATTGCAGAAATGACATGGTGAAAATATGACTTTCAAAAATGAATATCTCCATTATTTTCACTATTGCATGCAAAATAAATTAACCTGCTGTTAATTTTTTAAACAGAGGCCCTTGTTTGGCGCCCGTTCCAGCGTGGCGCCCCAATGCATCACATAAAATGCATTCCCACTTTTTGCAGACGAGTCATGTGATTCGCTGTTATTTCCAGGTCTCACTCTCGTTCTGAGGAGGAAGTTTTCAGCCTCTCAGTTCTGGGACGACTGCAGGAAGTACAACGTGACGGCGATCCAGTACATTGGCGAGACGATGCGTTACCTCTGCAACATGCCAAAGGTGAGAAATCCACGTGCGGTTTTCCTTCCACATCGTTTTCTGTACATTTGCAGTTTCAATCTGTTTTTTTTTTTTTTTTTTGCAGAAAGAAAACGAGAAGAACCACAAAGTTCGAATCGCCATCGGGAACGGAGTCCGAAGCGACGTGTGGAGCGAGTTCCTGAATCGATTTGGCGACATTAAGGTCAGAGAGTTGTACGCTGCCACTGAGGGAAACATCGGCTTTATCAATTACACGTCCAAGATCGGAGCGGTGGGACGCATTAACTTTCTGCAGCAGGTAGGAGACGCTCCCTCTAAAGTCATTTCAAATATAGAAAATGGATAATTGAAAAACGTGTTAAAATGAGCTGCATTTTTTTAAGTGAATTTTGAAAAGATTCTTTCTAATTTATCTTATTTTCCAATTCATAAAATTATGAATTTTATTAATTGGAATTATGAATAATTGGGAAATTATTCATAATCTTTATATTTCATGACATTTTGTCATGTTAAAACATTTTCAAAACCATTTAGTTTTTTATTCACCTTAAAGCCATGGAGGTTTCTGGTTCAGGAAATGAGAAGATGTTAAAGGTGTAAGAAAACAGTATGAATGCAGTTTTTTCTATTTTACCTGGAAATATTTTACTAAAGAACCAAATTTTACATGTCAAAGGTTTTATTCCTGCTTGATCAAACATTTGATGCTAATTTAATTTGATTTGAAGAAACTGGGATGTCCAATTGAGCGCTACAGTCGTCAAGGTTTCCTGAATTTCACTTTAACGCTTTAATGTTCTGTGTTTTGATCTGTCATCAAACGTGAAGCTGCTCCCATCAGCATCGGCTTCACGCATTAAACAAGGATCAGAGATGATCAGAGGATATGAAGAGTTTCTGTTTCACGCTCAGACGCTGATGAGACGTTTGCTCTTTCCTCCCAGATTTTCTTTCCTTACACTTTGATCAAGTTTGACATCGAGAAGGAGGAGCCGGTCAGAAACTCGGAGGGTCTGTGCATCAAAGCAGAAACCGGTGAGTGATGAGCAGCTGGATTT